AAAGTAGACGTTATCGCACGGTTGAGAGGAATGAAGAACGTGGGAGACAAAGACGGAGCAAAGCGATTACGCGACTACGGAAAGAAGATGGAGTATAAACATCAGGAGGAGAGAGTAGCTCCAGACGGCAAAATCAAATCACAAACTGCACCGTCGCAGACTTACTTTTTTCTCTCTAGTTCGTAAAATCGCTTTGTCAAAGATCTCCTTTGCAGAGTTGTAGATCGTAGACGTAGACATAGTCGTAGTCGTGGAGCTCTCCAAAGGAACCTCCATAGGAGTAGAGGTAACGTAACTTAGAAATCCTCCCTGTTCGGTTCCTCGTTATTCGTCGAACACCCTCGTTCGAACATTGTTTGGAGAGGTGTGAACCTACTAACGATTGTTCTTGGTTAGAAGTTAGAGGTGCATCGATCAAATCAACATCGTCAGACGCCCAGTGGGGGATATTTGACGGTCATTCTTTGATTTGTGTTCTTGTTTTCCTTGAGAACAGAGCGCATTAAACACGCGAGTTTTCATGGCAAAACAACATTAAATGGAAAAATTAGAATTGTGAAGTGTAAAGTAAATGGATCACATCATGAAATGCCAGCAATATACAAATAATAAAACATTAATGTTCCATATTATAGTTGATTACAACGGCGGATCTTGGGGGTAGCCCCGGGCTACGGCCCAACCCTCCCCGGTTCCAAAGTTCATATAGTACTTGTAAATTTTTGATTTTGGGTATATATTTCAATGTTTATAGGGTAACGGCCAAGCCCTCTCCACCGCTTTTTAAATGCGGCACAGTACTCTAACCTGTTCTAGATCCACCGCTGGTTGATTAACTTTACATATTCTTGTGAGGCAAATATGTATCACATTAAGATGAGTAATTTATCCCTTGCACAAGACTATAGCCATGTTGCTGCCCACTAAGTAAACTCTAACCTTGTAACCTTATTCATTTTCATTATTTAGGTGATTAATGGTTGTCATCAAACTTGATTTGAACCCAATTTTACTTAATGATCGTGTCATTTGACACTTAATAATCCTCCAAATATGCGAACGATGTCCTATCTACAGAATACTATAAAGCAATGTAAAAAAAACAGCATTTGCCACGTCAGGCGCTGCTGAAACGACCGCACAATTCAGAGGGCCTTTATGGACATTTCTAATCCATCTCTCTTCCTGGCTCGCTGTCTTCCCATATCCTGCTATTTCTCTTCTTTTTTTTTCCGAGAAACCAGAAAAAGCGATTTCTCTCTCACCTCTATGAATTGAATACTCTATCGACGCCTCTGTTCAGTTCACAACCACTCCGACGTTATTCTTTGACACATTAAATCTGAATTAAAAATCCTCCACAGTAGGTCTCTCTATTCTTCCTCAATCTTCGTTGTATTTGCTTTCAAATTTGGTCTGCCTTGCAATCCCCCAGAAAAAAATCCCAACTCCTCCGTCTCACCATCTTCCTTAAGTCTCCTCTGCCGACAACAGGTCGAACGTTCCTTTTTGGCACACTGCATCTGAATTTGAAACACCCACAGTAGGCCTCTCCATTCTTCCTCGATCGTAGTTGTGTTTGTAGCCATCTGCTCTGTCTTACAAGCCCACAGAAAAAGTCCTGACTCCTCTCAGTCTCGCCGTTTGTGCGATGTGCCCTCTTCTTTTGCGTTTTCAATGACAAATCTATCCATTAGCTAATTAACCAGTTCCAATCATTTATTGAGAAATCAAAATCATATTCGTTAATACAATCTAGAAGTTGGGTGAGGTATTTGGGAGAAGAAAAATCTGAAATTGTTTGGAAGAGGAAGAACCCAGAATGTTGAAAGAGGGAGGAGCTAGAAGAAGAAGTCTCTGGAGAAGGAAGAACTAAAGAAAATCTTCTGATTTTTTCTTGGTTATATCGGTTTAATATTATAAAAGATGGGTCTTGGGTTTGTGACGTGTCGTAAGTAAATGGAGTGAGCAACAAAAGGAGGAGAGAAGTGATAGAAAAGTTAGAATAGAGAGGGTAGAAAGAAAGAAGACGTGAGAATTGAGGGTAGGTGGCTATGAGAGAAAATTTAGTGTGGTGAGAGTAGTGTGAGCTTGAGAGAGTGGCTATGGTGTGGTGAGGTTTATTGTAGTAAATGTGAGCTTAAGTTGCTATTTTATAAGTTGGTTTGTAAAGTTTGTTAAAATTATAATTTCGGTCATCACACTTTGTAAGTACTATTTCAGAGCATGCGTGATTCAGTAAAATTTTACATGATTTGTGCTTAGTCTTTCGACAATTCCATATTGTATCAATTCCCTTCATCAAATTAGTCCTACTGTTGCATTTTATATGGGATTAAGAGATAATTTCTCGGTAGGGTTTCCCTTATTGCAATAATGCTGTCGAAGCATCTCTACGGTGACACTTTCTGTCCCTGCAAATTCTCCATTCAATTCTTACTCTGCTTTTACTCAATTTAAAATACTCATTTTGTTCTTAGTTTGTTGTTGTCCTGTGATTGGATGTCATATACGTAAGGAAATTGTAACTTATTTTATTGGTGTTCCCTTCTGTCTTTTGTTAGGGAAAGAAAGGGAAATCAATCCGTGTCTCACTTGAAGGTCTGATTCTAGCTGAAGTTGACATGGAGAGGGTGTGTTTTTTAGGGTGGTAAGTAGGGGTGGGATTCGGTCGGTAAACAATTTACCGTTTACCGAATTTACCGGTTTCGGTATACCGAAGTTGGCCAAACTAGTTACCGATTACCGATACCGGTTTGTAACCGGTTTACCGATTACCGAATTACCGGTAAACGGTAACAAACCGGTATTACCGAAATACCGTGAAAGGCGATTTCGGGCGATTTTTTCGGTCGGTTTACCGAATATTTACCGAACCGAATCTCTGGAAGTGGGGTGATGTTGTAATATTTCGATTTTTTTGAGTTTTTTTCATCATTTTTGTAATTAATAATTTATTATCAACTCTTATTTACAATATTTTTTAGGCCTATACTTACATTCATGATGTAATATTTTATATTTGTGAATAATGATGTAATATTTTTCATAATAAAGCAACAAAACGCAGCGCAACACTAGAGAGTAGGGAGGGGGGATTCGGTATCGGTAAGACCGATTTACCGTCGGTATTTACCGATACCGTTTTCGGTAAACCGACTCCCCCAACTTCCCGCTCGGCTACCGATACCGCCGGTAAACGGTTTACCGTTTACCGCCGGTTACCGGTTCGGTAAAACGGTAAACCGTTTACCGGATTACCGTTTACCACCCCTAGTGGTAAGTGAAATTGAATATTTTTTGTATTGATTTGAAGTTACCATTTTTCTTAGTTGTCTACTTCTTATTGATAGTTATTGCGACTTTAGCTAGGAGGAGAAGAAAGTTCCTCTTGATGGTGCGATGGATGTATCGAGTACGTTTAGTTTTAGTCCGCAATATGTCACTCTTTGCCTCTCTCTTATCTTTAGCTTCTATGAAGTTTGCTTACATGAGTTGTACATCATTAGTGATTCATCAGACCGCTTTATGGAGAACTTTTATGCTATTTTTCTAAAAATATTTATGATTTTGCTTGAATTCTACAATTGGGATTTTGTTACGAATAAGTTCTAATTTACCTAATAACAATATTTTTTTGAGTTAACTTTTTAAAAAAAGTGTTTACGGTTGAAGGGAAAGTGATTCAAGTACGTCCTAATTGGTGCTACATGAGGTGTGTTGTATGCCCTCACAAGGTAAGAAGACTTCTTCCATTGCTAAAGCCAAGTAAGCTTATAAGATGATTCTTGCTTTGTACATTTTTGTAATCTGCACAATTTGTTCTTTCATTTTTTGTAGGAAAGTAGGATTTGGCTACACACTATAGATGATGCATACTGATTTTATGACTTTGTTGAATTTTGTTTCATTTTCACCATAGGTTTTAGAGTCAAACTCCAATTGCAGGATGATACTGAAGAAGCTTATTTTTCCATTTTAGAGCTTGAAGGTTTGCGTTTTTTTCGGAGTGATGGTTGACGTGTTATTCCAAATAAATCAGAGAAAGAAAGAACCCATTTCGTCTCAGATCCAACAAACTGTTAACATGACACTGAAACTTCATGTTAAACTTACTCAATTCAACTTATTGAATCCTCAAGCTGAGTATTAAGTGGTTAGCATTGACCATGATCCACTTTAGGTAGGTGATGAACACTTCAGTTGCATATCATTTTAGTTTACCTAAAGGATACCATATTATTTTTTATCTTTACAACTCTATTATTAATTTAATTTGATTGCAGCAACTGATTGTGACTCCAAGTCCTGTGGACATGGGAGGAACAACCTTTATGGGCCGAAAAGAAAACACGTTGACGATTGTGACCTTGAGGAGGAATAGTATTGTGTGGAAACTTTGTGTAGTTAAAGAGCCCCAATGTGAAGCTTCTAATCAGTATTTTGTTTTCATCCATGGGATATTTGGTATTCTAATGTCTTTCAGCTTGATATTGGAACTACGTTTCTAGGTTTTCCTTATGGATTTCTCTTTTTGTTGAGTTACAATTATGGAATACAGTGGTGTTCTTTGACTACAATCTTTTCTCAAACGTTCGATAGTTTTTCCCTGATGAATTTTCTTTTTTTGGTTTTCAAGTTTGATTTAGCAATGTCAAATCAATCTCAAGTTAAGTCGAGTCTTAATGTAGATCTGTATGCCATGAATGTAAGCTTATGAGAAGGTTAGCCGCATTTGTTTTGATAATCTGATTGTCGATGTTTTCCCCCCTTCCTACTACCCTGATGATGTGTCGTCACTTTGCACATCAATTTGGAGAATTGGAGTTTTGTATAATTATATATGCCTACATGATTATTTTAAACCAACTATTGATTGATTACTATTATGCTTCATTAAATTGAAACCCAAAATGGATGATTGATAACGTTTATATATAGACCCTATTTCATATTGTTGTTTTCCACGAAATAATATCTTTTACAATAAAAATATGTTTAAGTATTGCCATTACCTTCCGATTCTGCTTCATGTTCTTAACGACACCGGCCAACGGGCCAGGCCCACTGCTAGTTGCTAAATAGACTAACGCCCTCCCATAACATCGACAATGAAAGAATCCAGATTCTTATCAGACGATCCTCCTTCCGCCACGGCAGCACAACACTTGATCCGCAATTCCCTCGCTCTTTCCTTCATGCCCTTTACGTCGTCGTTTTCCCCATCCATAAACCTCCTCACCAGTTCCGCCACTCGCTCTCTCTTAACCATCCCGCCGCCGCCGCCGCCGCCGCTCTCCTCCTTCACTCTCCATCCAATCCCCCAATCCTCCGCCACCGCCTTACTGTTCGGAACCTGGTCCCAGAAAATCGGGAAACTCAGCACCGGAACCCCTGCATAAACCGCCTCCATAGTCGAATTCCATCCGCAGTGGGTCCAAAACGCGCCGACGGCGGGGTGAGTCAGCACCCTCAGCTGGTCGCACCACCGCACCACCATCCCATTACCCATCAGATCCCCGCCGCCGCCCGTTTCGCCGCCGCGGGACACCCAGAGGAACCGTACGCCGCTCATCCGTATTCCCGCAGCGATTTCGTCGGATTGGGCGGCGGAGAGGGGGAGGAAGCTTCCCATGGAGACGTACAGCACCGAGCCAGCCGGCTGGGAGCTCAGCCACTCGATGTAGTCCGGTTCCACGACGTCGTTTTGGCTACTGGACTGGAGCTGGTGAAATGGTATTGCTGGGCCGACAGTGTAGATGGGCAGAGGGATTGCGGATCGTAAGGCGTCGAACGTGGTGGGCTCGAGCTCGTAGAAGGAAGTGAAGAGGATGTATTGGGCTTTTGTTTGGGCCGAGGAGATGCAGTTCAAGGCCCGCGGCAGGAGTGTTCGTCCGTGCTCGCCGAAGAAAATGGTGGGGAGGTCGGCCACTCGCGTCGGGGAGACTCCCGGGATGTAATCGACCATTGCTGATGTGGCTGCTTGTTCGTGATCGGCTGGAACACGGAAAAAAAAGATGATAGTAAGAAATGGTGGATCAATTTAACTCGATTGCAGGTGGTAAAATTGATGGGTGAGTACAAGTATGGACGTTAGCCCATAAATACAAATGAAAGGTAGGGCTATCTACCAGTACCTGTCACGGTGGAAATATATTAACCATTCGATTCATATCGAAAGTTCATATGAATTAGATATGACGGGAGATGATTTTCCAGAAAATACGAAAAATCAAAGAGTTAATAAATATTTTTATTTCAAACTATACTAAAAAATATTACATATTAAGTAACCATGTTGTGATCATTTTCATTTTATCATACGTAACATTTTGAACAATAAGATCTCCACGATTCTTTGGATGACCTTGCTAGTATGCACACTTTTGTGAATGATACACACTAGTCAAGCCCTAATACAATGTCTCCTATACTTTCTAGACAGCCGATTTCATAGAAATTAGATCCTCAAAGAGCATTTTTTATACAAATTTAATATACTATTTAAAAGATTCGGACTTGGAACCCCCAGCTTCTAAGCTAGTGATATTAGACTTCTACTCCAAAAATCCAGCGATGATTCAACCGATTTGAACTCCAAGAAAATCATGCCTATTAACCATGGATCATATATGCCGTACCTGATAATAACTCCAGCGGAAGATTCTGCCGTCGCCGGAGAATCTCAGAATGGTGGAAAACCGAGAGCACGGCGGCCGACATGGTCCAAAGCGAGGCGACCGGAATGCCCCTGGCGTTCCCAACCTCCGGCGGCCACGTCAGAAACGCATCCGCCACGATGGCCGCGACCGGCTGGTCCACCGTGGCGATGTCGTCAAGGAGAAGCTCAAACGGAGCCCTCAACGCCGTGTTAACGGCGTCCAAGAATCCGACGGGATCCTTGCCCCGTCCCACCTCCGAAGGTATGACGTCGGGTAGGGTCCGGATCCGGATGTTGTCGGGTCTGGGTTCGTAGCGGATCAACCCGTGCCATTCTTCCGTCACCACAAAGGTTACGAGGATGCGGATGTCTGCTGCTGCTGGGCTCTTGGAAGCGAGGAGCTTGCACAGATTCATCATGGGGTTGACGTGGCCTCTTCCTGGATAAGGCATCGCTACCACGTGGCAGCTTGTGGCTGCGCCGGCGGGAAGTGGCGGGTAATTTGGCTTGCCGGATTCTTCCATATCGCCTATGGATGGAGCGAGCTAGAGTGTTCCTCGAAGGAGGAAGTGTGGGGAATCAACTAATAGAAGTAGTATAGAAAGAGTTTGAGATTGTTATACATGTAGTTGGGACTTGGGAGTTGGGGGTAGATATATGGTAATAATTGAACCCAAACCATCAACCTGCTTTCCATCGACCCACACTCATAAAGTAAAACCACATAATTTTGTATACAATCGGAACAATGTGAATATTTTATGAATGTTATTAGTTTTCTTGGAAAAATAAATTTAATAATATGAATAATTTGTGAATATATATTTATAGGGAAAATTTTGATGTCCTCGAAGAAATAATGTATGGTTATATTCTTGAACACATGGACGGATATCTATTGGATTGTGTTGGTTTTCATTTTAAAAATTCAATTAATATGTTACTGAAATTTTTAATGGGTGTGCCAATTGGATTGAAACCCGACCTATTATCATCCATAGTTGAGAGCAAGAAGAATATAATTCTTTTATGATATCCAAAATAATAACCATTTCTTTACCCAAAACTAGTGTTCTCTATAACTCGGCCAGATGCAGCTCAAAGAAAAATTTTCTGCACGATGAATGGTACTTGTACCAAACATGACGAATGGTCCTTGTCGATGGTTTTTGTGTGCAAATCTCGATTTCATGTTCGACTGAGGGACTTTAAATGTTATGCAGAGATAAAGGGAGATCAAATGGAAGAGGAGGAGGAGGAGGAGAGAGACCAATTAATTTAGATTTCTCAGTCATTAGAAAGAGAAAATGATTTAAGACTCAGCCACTTGAAGAATTTTTAGAACGAAAATTAGAACAAACACATTGTATTAATGGAACCACCTCAATAGAAAGTAGAGATGGTCGAATTGTATAAAGTATTTCAACTCGTAGTCGAAAGTATTTGTTAGCTGGATCACATTCGAATTGCGGTAACATAGTTCACTCAACGCCAAAAGAAATCACACCTTATCGTATTTTTGGTGATTGGAAATAAGAAAGGAATAAAGGAATATAGGAATATCGAAAGACATCACACCTTAGCTGGGATTCATTGTTATCCGCAGTTCAGAGCAACATAAGAAAGGAATATAGTTCTTTTGTGGTACCCAAAAGAATAGCCATTTCTTTACCTAATACTAGTGTTCTCTAAAACTCGGTGAGATGCAACTCAAAGATAATATTTCTGCACATGATATGAATGGTACCAAACATGACAAATATTGATCCTTGTCGATGTTTTTTTGGTGCGCATTTTCCTTATATGTTCGATTGAGGGCCATTAAATGTTCTGCAGAGTTAAAAAGAGATCTAATGGAGGAGGTGCAAGATCAATTCGATTCAGATTTCTCAGTAGTAGAAGGGGGGAAATGATCTGAGACTCGGTCACTTGAAGAATTTTGAAACCGAAAAATGTCGACAAATAAATGGTGTTAATGCAATCAACTTATTTCTAAGAAGTAGAGATAATCGAATTGTACAAAATGTTTCAACTCATGATCAAAAGTATTTTTCTGTTAGACCACATTTGAATTTCGGAAATATAGCTCACTCAACATCAAAATTAGTCACATACGTTATCGTGTATCCGGTGATGGGAAATACTACAGAAAAATTAGTAATATTTGCATGAACATTTCTTGGAAAAAAAATTAAACGGGATACCTCATCCAAAGTTAATGGGCGAGGTACCACAACAAAATATCATATGCCAAGGCTTGATCTACCCAAAGAACATTTTGGCCCGAAGGGCTGAAATCATGAGCAAGAGAGTGGGCCAAACAATTGGATGCCCTTAGTGTGTTGAGGGACACTGTAACATTTTCCTATTGGTTAGATAAGATTGGTTCAACCAAATCGATTAGAGAGGTTGGTTAGGTGTTAAACTTGTTGTTTAGTTAGTTGAGTTGTATAAATAGGAATAGATGAAGTCACTGTAGAAGTCAAAGCATTTAGCTTTTATAGAAGGCCTTCATATTCAACTTACTCACCCACATTCCAAAATGATATAGACAAAAAAAATTTAAAGCACCGGATAAGACATCTGACACAATCTGTTATGCGCACGGACTGGGGCGATCGACAATATAAGAAAGATAACGATCGGCGAGAAAGTAAAGAATACAAGGACTTATGTTAGCTACTCCACGGGCACGAGAGCTAGTTTCACTATACTTGAGAAGATTATAAATTACAGAAGGAAGAGTATGAGAAGTGTTATGGTAGTAGTCTAGTAGAGCGTCATCGGTCATCGATAGATCATCCGATTCAAGTCACATTAACACGAGTTTCATCCAACCTCTAAATCTATTCGACTAAAACGGGTGGGAGAGTGTTATCAGCCCAAATTAAGTAGTTGAAAAACAAGTTCCATTAGTGAGATTAGATTTGAGCCCGCCCGTTGGTCGGATGAAAATTTCGAATCATTTAGTAACTGGAGACAATATCATACTCGTATAATATTTTTGAACATGCTAAACCAATGTATTGCTAAAGTCCTTATTGCAAGTAAAAAACAAAACCATGCAAGAAAATCTACTCCTAAAAATGTAATCAAACCGCACTATTTGCTCTTCGAATTAACAAATTATTGCAAATGTCATTTTAGATTTCGTGTGATCGCTTCGTCCTCTAAAGCACCATCATATCTACAAATTCCAATGCATTTGTCTTTCTTTACAAAACCTTTATCTTCACACTAAACATTACGCACGGTAAAATTTACGTCACATGAACATTTTATGATATTTATTCTTTTCCATGCTGATAAACAACCCAACAACCAACACAAATATTGATACTCTTTAGATTGAAAAATTAATAAATAAACTTAGGGATTGAGTACTTTCCAATACATATGTTGCTTTTTTTCCTTATAAATATGTATATTTTATTGCTCAATTTGTATATAATAAATTAAGTGGGGAGTATCATGATCATTCTAAGTTAACTTTATGAAGATTGGGAGCTTGGTCAAAGTCCAGTCAGCAAGCGAGAACCAAAAATTGACGGTGGGGATGTAATTAGGAATTGTCGTATAGATAGGGTACCATTATAGAAGAATTGATAATGCATGAACACTACTGTACATGATGCCATAGGATTAGAGGTGGACATCGGTCAATTCGGTACAGAACCTGATCGAATTGATACAGAACTTAACCAAAAACAAAGGGAAAATAAGGATCAGAACCGGACCAAAAGCATGTTTGGTTTATTTTCTTCGATTTAGTCCATCCCAAATTCAATTTTGGTCCATGTTTCTTCATACTTAAAATAATTCATAGGATCAAAACTGAATCAAAATATATTCGATCCGATATGATTCGATCCAAATATCAATTTGATACGATTTAGTCTGGTGCGAACCGGATCGTTACCCACCCCTACTTAGAATGCTAGACTAACATATCTTCCAAAATATGTCAAAAATGAAGGTTTTGTCTTCAATGCGATCAATTTTTGGGTAGATGCTATGCACTTGCCTCATAACCGTCATATTGAGCAGGTGATTCATGTCAAACTGATGTCAATCATTACTCGTGATATGATGGACAAAAATACACATGAATTTGCACAAAAATTATTCAATATTTACTTTGATTTGAAGAATTTCGGATTTCGGAATTTAGGGTTAGGGTTTACAATTTAGAGTTTAGGGTTAGGTTTCAAAATTGAAAGTTATCATCGTATTTGGCTAACGACACCAATTAAAATAAAATTAGATGTCTTATATCTACTTTTAGAGTTAGGTGTATATTATGCACTCATTTTTGTAAGTGCAAATAGAAGCCACCCAAAATAAATAACATTCTTTATAGTATAATTAGTGTGATTTTCAGTCAAAATTTATAAACTAAATTCTGAACAAATGAAATATGATTTATTAGAAACCGATAAGGGAGTGATTATGCACGTTGAACTATACACCTAAATTTTTTAATAAAGTAACAATAAGCTATTTTATCTAAATGGACACAATAAAATATAGTTGCTAATTATAATTTTAATAAATATATGGTGTCGTCTTCGGTGCACTCACTTTTTTGGGTGCGTTCAGTGCACTCGCTTCATAACCATCATTTTAAACATGCGATTTATGTAAAAATGACGTCAATCATCACTTATGATGTGATGAACAATAACGCACATGAATTTGCACAAAAACCATTGAAGATTTACTTTAATTTGAAGGATTTAGAGTTTAGAGATTTAGGGTTAGGGTTAGGGTTTACAATTTGGAGTTTAGGGATATAACTCAAAATTGGAGGTCTAAGGCTTAGGGTAATCGGCTAATTAGTTGTTATCAAATGTTATATCATCATATTACACTGATTCTACAAATTAAAATTCAACATCCGACACCTTAAGACTAGTTTTTGAGTTGGGTGCATTGAACGCACCCATTTTTGTGAGTGCACCGAAGTAGTCACCATAAATATATATAGAGAAATTTTACTATATTTCATACCATCCATTGTTCCATTTAAAAAAATACAATATTCAGTTTGCGTCTATACATTTTCGTAAAAATTTCTTTATAGTACAAACTCAACTTGCACCTTTAATATTATGGTACAAACTTAATTTGTATTTTTATCTCTACATACAAACTCATTTATGACAACGCAAAATCGTGTATCTTTAACGCTATAATATGGCAGTCATGATATAAATTAAATGTATGTACAAACACTAATTCTTTGAAGTATAGTAAATTAGGGAGCTTTAAATAACATAACACATTAATTAAATAGGGAGCTTTAATTATTTCAGTGGGAGTCCCGGTCCTAATTTTTTAATTAATAGGTTGAGGGTTTTAACTTATAGGGCTAATATCACTGGGAAACCCGAATTATTAACTTTGTGTCATTTGTGTCCTAAGGTATTAGATATGATATTTGTGTCTTAAACTATTTGTCCGTTAGAGTTGACTGGCGTTTACCGTTAGTTTTTAACTGAAATTCTAGTCACCGCTGATGTGGCATCCGACGTGGAATATTATTATTTATTACTTATTTATTTTATTATAAAAAATTAATAAACTAACAAAAAGAAAATTACAAAATACAAAAAATTAAATATAAAAATACAAAATAAATAAATTTTCGGGTCTTCTATCTCTCCTCCGTAGTCTTCGCCGCCGGGAA